CATCGCACTTTAAATTGCCTGAGACACCAGTAGTTCTCATGGGAACCCTAAATTTTGAAAGAACCACAGTCCAACTCTTTGCAAGCCTTTTTCACCCTTCTTCGACCTACATTACTACTTCCCCACCAAATATCTGCTTACTGCTTTGCAATGAGTTTCTCACAATTTTTTTACCTCTTATTGGCAAGGCTTCATCATGAGGATCCCGAATAAAATCGAAGATTGCACCTCCTAGTTCCCCATCTGAATAAATTGCAGCCCTTTACTGAAGAAACATGACGACGAGCCAACATCTCCAAAAGGCAGGAGTTTGTGTTTGCCATCGATTTACAACACTGGGAAGTAGCTTTGATAACTTATGGCAGGGACGTAGGCCAACCTCATCTCACTGTGGCCAGCCTTACAACTAATTTGACCTAGGTGTGGAAGACACCTGATTCTCCATCCAACTGGCTATTTCGTCAAGCACCACTTCAAAGACTTCTCGCGCTGTCTTCTCAACGATCAGCTCACATGCCCTGACGGTCACAGAAATGCATTGAACAAGAAAGTCGATTGTCTCATCTATCATCCACGGTGCTACGCGCAGCTCAATGATGGGGTAGCAGAGGTCCGTCAGCGCCTCTGTCATCAGTTTCCTGCCCAACTCACGCCATTCGGTGTGCTGTTGGGTGACCGCCTTTTTGAAAGGAAAGCAAAGTTAAAACTTTTTATTAGCCCTAAATACAACAAATCGAGTGGGAAGTAATCGACTACAGACATCCTATTCTCGACTTAATTAATTCCTGAATCCTTTAAGACTCTGAGTCATGGTAAAGGGGAGCTGTGAGTGTTAAGAGGGCGGAGCAAATTTATAATGAATGTTTGAATGGAGGCTGGACAACCTCATTAAGTAGCGCTGATGACTACCTCTCTATCAACAATTGGATGCATTTGAACTGCGAATTCAAAGTCACCAAGCTTCAAATCTATCGATCATCCGGCCGAGTACTCTAAACCGGTACGACAAAGAAAGTGAGTGAGTGTGGGGTCGAGGAGGGGTAAACGACCACTTGCCTCGCGTATAACGCCATCAACGAGAATGCGCGCACGTTTTTCGAGTTGATTGAGCCACAAAACGCGTTCCACCATTGGCTCTAGGAATTGTACTTCAATTTCTGGAAAAAACGAATGCACATAAAAATTGCTTAAGATTGTCTAGTTCGACGCGTATTGTTAGGGATGCACAGGAAGTAGGAAACACCTACCATACTCTACATCGTCGTAGAAGTAGCCGCGTTGTGTGAGCTGCTCAAAAACATTGGGAAGGAGGGGTTCCAGGTAGGCCTTGGTGAAACATCGAGCCGCAACCTTGTCTGCAGTTCGTTTTCGCATCCATGCCGCCTGGATGCCCTGAGCTTTGCGTCTCTCCTGCTCTTCCCTGCATAGGCGCGACAAAAGGTGAAAATATTCCTATAAATGAGCAAAGTTAGCCGGATACACTTAATGATAGCTGAACTAAATCACCTATATCGCTGATTGCGCTTTTCAAGTCGCTCGACTTCTGCAAGGTCGGCGTCACGTATCTCCATCTGGATATGCTGTTGCTTTCGAAGTTCCTGAAGCTCCTCCTCCTCAGTTACTTCAAGCAATGCCTGTTCCACGGTCTTGCCAACGAGAACTTCCAGCACAGGTGTCACTTCCAGATTGAAGTCAAAGAGCTTGAGGTGTGAATGAAGGCAAGTGAGTTGACAAAATGAATGAACGTCCAAGTAGGCAGATCAAAATCCACGGTTGCTACCTCACCTCCCAAGCTTCAACTTGGGTGGCGATATCTGCTCCTGTCGTAGCAGGCACGAAAGCCGGTGTGGGTGGTCGAGCCATAAACTCATCGGTCTGACTCCAGTAGTCGTCCCGTTCCACCGGCTGATCAATCTCCTCTAAATGCTTTTTTAGGTCGACAGCCTTCGTTGACCTACCGTATATCATGCCTACAAGACGGACGGCGGCCATTTAACATCCCATCGTAAAAAGATGACTGTCGAATAGATATTAGAGATGTTAAAAACTTCCCATAGTCAAAAGTGAGTCTCATCCAACTCATATAAAACATTTAATATGCAAAGCCTTGGAATCCGTAAAATACGTGTAAGGGTAAGTCACTCACTACTGGGTCCAATGAAACTGGCCAAAGTGTCACCAGACCGGCACTCCTTAGGAGCGAACTTGCGAGCGTTGATGGCTCGTTTCGCTTTGAGGTCGGCGCGAATTCTGGCACAGTCGGGTATCCCAGGTGCTGAGGGTGTGAGCTTCGGATAGGTGCCCGGCTTGGCACTAAGTAAAGTTATTGTCTTCTGCCTTTAAGAAGGAAGGAAAGAGAGCATCGAGGGTATAGAATTTGTTCCAAGAAGACCCTCCTGATTAGACGAGTACAGCAAGGCAGGCTTGCAGAACAAAGCAGTTCTACATCAAAAATGCACAGAATGGCGAATTGTGCTATCGAAAAGGTCGAAGAAGGAACTGCTATGCACGGGTAGGCCAGTGGTGACGCGTAGGAGATCTGTAAGGCCTTTCGAGACCTCAATCTACCTCGATCGTCAACCCAAGAAGCAAAGCAGTCCGTTAAAATGGCGCTTAAATAGTTGAGCCAGGCAAAATGGACTACTGTACTCCCCCATGCATCACTCCTCAAATGAAGGCAAGCAAAGCAATCCAATTACTGTAGATCGTAGAATCTTGGGAATGTACAACTGCCGGTGATTTCACTATGGATTCCACTGCGTGGATAGTCTTTGCAATAAACTAGTAGATGCCCTGTGCCGGAATCAACCTTCGCACTGGCGGCAGAGGCTCCGATCATACTGTCACTCACAAGACTGCTAGGCTCATTGCTACAGTGAAATTTCGTAAGCTTATTTCAAACCTAACCACCTGTTCAGCACACCAAATTACCAATACAAACTGAACCCTTAAGGACTGAGATCTAGTTCGGAGTGAAGATTACGGTGAGTAGTGCAGAGCCAAAAATGTTCAGGTTCGTCTCGATTTGAATAAAATGCATTTCATAGAACAAAAAGAATGAAATCTGCAGATATGATGCCCTGCCACACTTCAGGAAGCAGGAAGTGACTTAACCAAAAGTGCCAGAAAAGGAGCAGTAGAAGGCCCGACATAAAAGCATTTCAAACCACTTACCTGATGTTACTATACAGGCAATAAAGAGCATGATCGAACTAAGCGCAAAGAAGATACATTGAGAGTTGACGAGTTAATAATTGGCTACAAAACCTAACATCGCTAAAGCAGTCCTTATGACCAGTAGGTACAAAAACCATGTCCGATGTCTTACGGGTCACTTTTTAGTCGGCCATATTCTGTCCTCACGATGGGCAGACTGGCAAACACATAGGCCGCCTTATTGTTCTGAGGACACCGGTGCATGGTGTCCTTTCAAAAGCTTTTGCCACTTCTTCTACCAATTGCTGAGCATGCAACACAGACATGAAAATCAATAAAGCTAGATTATGACCTTTTCATCGACTAGGCAGACCATAAGGACTTCCTAATCTGGTCGAATTTGGGTGAGCTCTACCAAAAGAAAAAAAAGCATACCAAAAGAATGCGTTTGGAAGCCCACTATGACTCTGGGCGCAATGATCATGACATGATCAACCAAAGCTTGAAAAATGCAAGCTTACCTCATATAGAGAAGAGTTCCACCAAAATAGGATAACTGCGAATATGAACAAGAAAGTCGAGATTGAGTCAGTAAATTAACATTATATTTGCCAATCAATAACTTATTAAGGTGAGCTCGACGGCTCAATTGTGAATTCGGAAGAATGACATTGAAGGGAATGTAGGTTCAGTGGAATCATTGTGGCAAGATTTTCGGCGAAAGCGGCCTGAACCCATGCCTCAAAATCCAAACGTGGTAATGCAAATTTATCGCCAGCCAAAGGCTTCAGTTGTGAGAATGTGAGGGCTTTTACCTTGCTAAAGTCTTTTCCGAATTTTTTCCTAAGATCAGAAGCTATAATAGAGGTAAAGCATCAGGTGAGTTAGGAGACAAACTTACATAAAGATGCGAAACAATTATTGACAAGGGAGCGTAAAACATCATCAAGGGCGTGAGTTGGATTTGACTTGTTAACAGCGCGCGACTTCTCCTTTTCAACTTTTAGCCTCTCTATGTCAACAAATGACAGAGGCTGCTGTAAAACAGAATCGACGAAGGCCTCAAAGTTGCCAACTGGACTGTCAGATTCCATTCCAGTCAAATCTAGATTATGGCGTTCCCAAGAAAAATTTAAGGCGTCTGGCCACTCAAATCGCGCACTCATACGAAAAAGCACCGATGAAGGAATGAAGGGGGTTCTTCTAGCATTTCTTTCAATGCATACATTGAGTGGAGTCCGAACGCTAATCGTTAAGTATGCGCACCTGCCTTACCATGAGCACAACGTTTAACAACCTACACATTTTTGAAAGCATGAAATACTGCTTCCTCATGCTTCGGTAGTAAAAATTATCGTCTAAGATAACGACCGTGGGGAGATCACCCATTGTTTCTTTAGGGAAGCGAATGTGAAGATCTTGACACCCGATGGAGCGATTACCACTTCCAAGCTCTGTTAAAAAGCTCCGAATGCCGGAATATATCTCATTTCTCGCATTCTGCCACTGTAAAATTGGTTACTTATCAGAAGCTCACATCAAAATCCTTTGACTCGTGAAAAATAATATTGTCGTCGAATTGTATGGATATGCACTTAAATTTGGAGCATTCATTCACAAGCCTGCGAGAAATGCTAGATTTTCCGGCAGCAGGTAAGCCAATGAGTAGAACTAACGCTTTCAAGCCACAACCCTCAGCGAACGAAAAACCGGATTGCATTCTTCCCGTAGTTAATGCACCCATAACAGCCTTGAATTCAGTATAGTCAATACATGAGTCATTGCGAAAAACTGTAAATGAAAATATTATCGCATTCTTAAAATTAGGCATGAGAAAACGTATTTTACTTAAGTTAAAATTGGTTGAAAATTAAGTGAACAGGCACTCAATGAAGATAGCCCCGTTTTGGGGGTTTTTATATGATTTGTTAGTTTTAAGAATTCTCTCCTTAATTTTTCCTTTTAAACCATGTGCATTTAGCACTGTTTTTCACCATTCCAAAGGCGTTATTGCAAGGCCGAACTGCCTCACGCCCCTGATCTTCGGACTTCAGGAGCGGTTTGGCCGAGAAAACTTTATTGGGCATCGTGTACAGAAAGAAAGGAAATGGGGAGAACTTTTGAGACAAAAATCTGATTCCACCGTGAGAACGTTTTCTCGCGCTTCTAACGGACTAGATCTGTTTTCGAATTACCTTTCCGTCTCGCCCCTATCAAAACATACTTAAACACGTTAATGCACAGTTATGCCTTTTGGATTCCCTGAAATTTCTTATTATTTGGGAATACTGACGTGCCATTCTATGAATCTCCTGATAATGACTGTCTGGTCAATCTGTGCCCCTCCACGTGGGCACATGGATTGATGCTTCAATCGTTCACCTAACAGCTGTTGATGCTCAAATTTCTCAGTAATTATCTGCAGCATTGAACGCCCAATTACTCGATCACAGTCTTTGTGACTGTCCTACAGTTAATCCATTTCGATTAACTCAACTTCCAACTAAGCAGACCCAACCACGACTTCTGCCTGGATCATTGTTTTGATGGGCAGCCAACTAAATCATAGGTCTCCACGGAATTAAGATGACGTCGGGTACACGAGAACGCAAATAACAGGGAACTCTGTGAACGACTAAGCTTGACGAACCGCAGGCTCCACCCCCACTCCCGACAAGGAATCAAGCTGAAGATCATTTACCTAGAAGGCAAAATTGACAAATTTAACTCGCGTTCTCCATCGAATCACTTCATGAGAAGGACCATCAGTACCGTTATCTTTGAATTTCTTATTAAACAAAAGTGAAGTTTAAAACAGGATAAGAAGACGCCTATTTCATCATTACAATCGTAATAGCACAAAAGTTAAAATAATGCGCAGCCACACGCACAACACAACCAGTGAAGGGAGGACTACAAAAAGAAGGGAATCGACTCAGTAGTGTACACAGGAATCTTGGAGTATTGACCGGGAGGGGACTAAGTGCGTCTGTTCACCTTTCCAGTCGCCTCCTTCAATGGCCGCCGCGAATTTGTTGTTACTGGTGCCGGTTTGGCCTGCAAGAGAAGATGACTATCATCACCCATCAACAATGGTTTCAAAATTAAGGACAAATCCGCTGATTTCGCGGCCCCAGCGTCTCAAAACATGCCGTACCCATTCCTTTCCGGATTTTGAGGTAGAAGGGTTGGCAGGTGATGCCGGGGAAACTTTGGCTAAAGGTGGTGCCTTTTCCTCGGTGCTTCCAGAGGTAGCACCGTTCGGACGCTTGACGTCCTCCTCGGAGGTAGTTTTCCGCTGACTTAGAGGTGGAGCCGTTCTCCGTTTATGATGAGGACTTAGTTCCACTTCGAAGGCCAGAGGAGGCTGGAAAACCATAATATTATCGACTTTTGAGCACTCAATAGAAATTCCTTACACATGGGTAACTTGACCCAAAATTCTCACCTTCTTAGCAGTGGCACGAGGTGGACTGGAATTTCGTGCAGATGCGATCTAAAATGTGAGGAGAAAAGGAAAACTCACGATACTCTTCCTAATTCGACTGAGTCTTAGAAGGTTTATTTCGCAGTGCAAAAGTCGGCAGAGCAACACACCACGCAATTAGCTCAGACTTCAAGTCAAAAACGCCACACAACACGAGGCAAGGGGAACAAATCGTGTCAGTAAAAGAGAGCTCTTCATCTTACGATCATTGACCGGTCTTCTGTATAGCAAATGGGTGGAATGACCTAAAAACAAGTATCACAATAGGGTTTAGAGGGCGTGAACCAAAACACTGCCACCGTTTAAATCAATTTGTGGCAAAATTGACGGCATTAGATGCCATTTCCGGTTGTATCTCATTTCCTTCGCCTCGCGATGTGAAATGCGGGGCAATGTTACACCCAAAAGGAGTTCATTTTCACGAAAAAAGAACCACAAATGCACAAATAAAACAGAAATTGAATACAAATCCACGCTTTGAAGAGAGGTTTACCATGCTCAGATCATTTATTTTTAGTTGAGCATAACAATAACGGTCCTTAAGCAAGAGGAGCTAAGAGTATTAAGGATTGGAGAGGACAAAAGCGAAGGGGTAAAAAATAGAGCCGCGGCTTACACTAATGCCAAAGAAGAAAAGTGGTTCCACGAAAGCACATGACTTTACCGAAGTAACCTTAGCCGAAATTTTATGAAGTCCTTGAGCAATTCCTTTTGGATGAGTTTCTTGCAGTAATCGACTCTCTCGAAATGGAAGTTTTGAAGGAAAGCCAATCATACCAATCTCAAATTCTATATCGAAAGTAAAGGCCACAAACCCCAGTAGTACTGTGTCCACCACGAGGTAGGAGTAAAGACTCAGTGGGTCGAGCTCGAGTGGAGGAGAGGTCAAGATGCTCCGCGCTCACAATACCCGAGGCTCCGGTCAACAGCACCTCTGATATCGACTGGAGGCCTTTGGGACGCAGCGAGCGGCCAGCAGGCATCGGTGAAGCCTCCCTTCCCGATCCTGATGCTGCTGACGTATGCCCTTCTGAATGATGTTGGTGCTGCTCCAGATCGCTCTTGTGAACCGTCTGCAGCATCGTGTAGAGCTCAGTTGGACTGCGCAGCTGAACATGATGAAAGAAGAAAAGCATCAAAGCCGTTTAAACGCGAGATTTTGCCGATGGCTTACGCATGGAATTGAAGCAATTCCCGTCAAACTGGACACGGAAGCAAGCGGCCTATCAGTAGTAGTGGTTGTAGTGGGAACCGTCCAAGTCATGGGCTCAGCATCAAATACAAAGCACTTATTCCGTGAAAACGATAACCACTTTCGGGAAGGAGGCTCACCAAAATGATTCATCTAACATTGAAAAATCTTCCAAAAAAACTATAGTTCTACTTCTCATGAAGTTAAAAACACCTCTCGCGACATCTATGGCTTTGAAGAATACAAAATACAGCAATGCACAATTTCATGCGATTCGATCAAAGGCGCTTAAAGTGACTCCCACCTAGCGACAGTCTACATCGAGGCCCATCCACGAACAACTCATATCCTACCAACCAATGCACAAAGTTGGTTTCTAGCGAGGGAAATGTGAAAAAGTGTATTTGTTTGGGTAGAAAAAGTAAGGTCAATCGCAGCAGAACCATGCTGAATCCCTCTTTATAAAGCATGTGGTGCGGTGTTGTGACTGGAACACGATTACTCAGACAATAAATGAAAAAAAAAACACTTAGAGAGTCAGAAAGCATTCAGTAATTTCATAGCGTACAATAATTTGAGCTACACTAGTGTTACCCAAGAGTCCTGAGATCATTTTACTTGAAAGGCTTGTCGACTGAGAGGACAAACTCGAGATGCAAAGCCTCAAACGAGAGTGTGATAAACCAAAGCCCCAGAGAACAATTATGACCCCTTTTAATGGCTGGAAGTAGATAAGGTTACAAGGTGGAACCGATGATACGTCCCTTGATCGGTAGCCATAGGCAACAATTCGAGTTCAATGAGAAACCTTTGGATTCAATTCTAGACGCAGTAACCGAGCCGCCATGAAAACATATCACCTCCTTTTGACAGCACTCAGACGACTCAATTCAGTGCAACACAAACCAAATACTGCCGTTCAAACACTACAAAACTATCAAATTCGAAAGCAATGAGTGTGTGGACGTTTTCGACTAGTACAAAGCAATCATCAGAACGAACTTGAGTCTCCACAGGGTAGTTTGTGCGCAGATGGAAAGGCTGAAGGTTGTTACGTCGTCGAAGCTCGGCCAAACGAGCAAATAGATCCTCTGAAAAAGGTATGAAAAGCAATGAAATGAAGATACCGACCCGATGACCCGCCTTACCCTTCGGCCGTTTTATGACCTATGAAAAATGAAATACATTCGGTGCGTAGCTTGGCTAGAAATTCCATACCACCTCTTCATTAATGTTTACTACCTCGCGCTGTGTCCTCGACTTGTCTACATGTAAAATCAAAGTTAGACTCCGCAAAACCCTTGTCATTCCGTGCAAAGTTACACGGTGGATCAAACTCACGCAACAAACCCTACCCTAAGTTAGCTACAAATATAGCAGTTCACGCAGGCGATGAAAACTTTACTCGTCATTTTCATGAAAGCCATGCAGAGGTGGTTGCAAGCCGCTTTAAAAAATCCGAAAAATTCCACACCTCCGATTTAAAAAGCTGCAAGTGACAATGCGAGTTCGTTACGCTAACAGCCAGAACTACTTCAAGGGTGGCAAGTGAAGGTAAAAGTTACAGTTTTCAATAAGTGGGAAAGAACAGGCGTTGAACAACAGCTTATTGCTCTAGAAACCAAAATTAATGAGAAAAAAGGAGTAGAACAGGAACCCATGAGCAACTTGCCGGGTCTTTCTGGGGTAGGGACGTTTTTGGTACTGTGTACCCGAATGTTCCCGCTGTTGGCAGCTGGATAAGTCTGCGTCACATTGCTTGCAATGGAAGGCTCCACAGAATCATCGCGTGCTAGTGCGGCAAAAGGGAAGAAAAACAGATGAGGACTTAGGAGGAGACACAGCAGACCGCCATTTATCTTAGGTATGGCTCCAGCACCACAGTGGCAGTAATATGTTAAACTTCGTGCAATCTGATATTCCCAACCAGACACTACACCAAAAGACCATTAGCGGTAGATGCCACAATTGTAGCAAAGCCAGCACCTTGATCTTACCGAGTTGCGATAGGCACTTTGATCTAGGGTTTCACCTACAGTTGCCTTCCGCACCCCCTCCCTGATGGACAACTGCTACGCACTCTCTAAAGCCAGAAGAGATTCAACAGGAATCATCTTGACCCCCACAAGTCTAAATAAAAACCCACGCAAGAACCAGTGCTGCCACGCCTTCGCTTGTTGGCAAAATTCGCGTTTCGCAAGTGGAAAACTTGACATAGGGATAAAAATAATGATCCACCTAGTGTACAACTGGACGGCCTCTTCAGCAGTACAATATCAGTATGCAAAAGTCATCGGAAATGAGCAGCGAATCTTAAGAGGTTTGAAGAATTAAATCCACAATCAACACCGCAGCGACACCCTTTAAAACACAGGCTGGAATTGTAGCATCTATTTAGTTCATTCAAAAATCTCGTGCAGGAAACTAATCAAGTCTTAGGTTGGCCAGGAAACAAGCATTCACGCAAGACAGTAATTCGAACATAAGGCAGAAAGTAGAGTGATTGCGAAAGGACGCCTCTGTGTCTCGGAAAAGGGAAGTACAATGAAGCTCGACAGAGTCATCAAAAGTAGGACAACTAACTAGGCGCAAAGAAAGTGAATAATCTCAAAACCGCTTCTGAACCCAAACTATTCAATCGTTACCAAGACTTTACACTTTAACGACAGGATTTGCTAGTTAACATCAGTCTTCGAAGAAGTGCTATTCAAACATGGAGGTCTTGGCTTTGAACGCGTAGAAATGGATGACAAGTAGGAGACACGCTGACAAATGCGAGACGCAATGGGTCGCTGAACGTCTGCCTAATCACGCATACTTATCTTCCTTCTTTTGAAAATGCGGTATAAACCACCCCGAAGACTAGACCCTCGACAGTGTTGTCCTCCTCCTCCTCCTCAATTGACGATAAATTACTTTCAACACTAAGAAGAAAGCATTTAAAGTGCGGGAAAAATAAACCTCTGCACGCGATTGAGCATTCAGTCCTGAAAGGCAGAAACTCAAACTTCAAGTGCATTATTGCGCGATAAGCTTTGCTAGTTTAATAAAGGAGGGCGAATTCCAGAAAAAGCCCAATCAAAGGATGTATGAGTGTACGAAAAAGTGAGAACCACGTCACAAGAGCAATAGGCAAGAGTTTACAAATACCACTCGGGTAACACATCCACTTCCGACCTGGACTGATGTATCACCACCTGAAATGTGATACAACTTCCCGATTGCTAGGCCTTACTGGGCGTGATTGAGAAATAGGGTAATGCGAAGGAACCCATGATTATAAAAAAAGCATTAACACTGACGTTTACGCAATACGGAAAAGCATGCGACAACAAAGATCGTGAGAATGAAGAGCATTCGCAACACATTAACTGCCAAAGCTTTTGAGTTAAATCGAGGACCATAGCTCAGCCACTTTCTTCGTCAAACGTAATGCCGAAGGCAAACAGTCCTCATTTTCTCCCAATTAACTGCCGACTAAAACCATCACAAGATTGCCAACTACAAAACCGATCTGTCCAACGTGCGACAAGGAAAACATCTGATTTACGCACTTAACGTTAGAAAAGCGCATTACCGAGCTCAAAAAAGTGGATGAAAGAATGAAAAACAACTGGCAGTGGTCCAATACAGAGTAATGCAAATGACTTCATGCATGAAAGAAGCATGCCAATTAACATTAAATACGCCTAACGGAGAGTAACACTTGCCGGACTGAGGATGAACAGGAAGAGGAGGCGGATGCAAAGGATTAGGTTGTCTCCTACTTCGCCCTGAGGTCGGTGGAGGAGGAGAGATCTCGAAGGCAGTGGGACGTTGGGGCGGGGACGGGGGTTGAGGCGGGGGCATTAAGCCACCCGCACTACCGCTAGTGCGGGGTCGATGATAACGCCGTGTCGTTGCTTCAACATCATCATCATCACGAGGACTGTCAGAGGGTAAGGAGAAGGGAAGACGGGAGGAAACCTGACTCAAGTCGGTGTAGGCCACACTGTCATCCTCGGTATCCTGAGCGTCCTCTACTGGGTGGAAACGATAAAATCAAAAGTGAGGATGACACCCATTTACCACGCCCAATTGACATTCTATTGTGCAAGCAAATAAAACCATTTCCTCGAAATGGCACGAATTCTCATTTCCTACCATGACTATGAGGTCCTTCAGTGCTCCTCACAAATCAAATCTGTTCCTTCCATATATGGACCAAGGGAGTGATGCAAAAGATCAAACAATGATGCTAAAATTAATTGATGGGTAGATAGCCGCTGCCTGCTACGCTTGTGTGTAATCGGGAGGGGAAAAAGGCACTGTCTCCCTAAGAGACATCGGAATGGGAAAAAAGGGCTAGCTAGAAATCCAACCCACCGATATACTTTACTCTTTTACAAATATAATAAGCTGTATCACACATGCAAGCGAATCTTCCTACTTGGCTTCTGTAAAATATTGGGGAAAAAATTTGACCGTATGTAACACAGCGTTGCGATTTAACAAATCGTTCAAAAAAGGCGAAAAGTTTTCTGTCCGCCCAAGTGGTGGAAATGTTTACTGCGAAGCTCGTAAATAGGTTGCGGCGATTTCAAAGACTCGTTAATCACACCTCACCCTTCGAAGCGCCGAAATGCATTTTCCATCACCGAGACGAATATCACTCAAATTAAGCACCACCCAACAAAGCAAAAGTGTCGAGCATCTCGCAATGCTGATCTTACTCATTTGAACAACTTTGTTTGACCTGTGCTGAGGTGAACAGATGCAGTAATGAGTGGCGCAAAAGATGAGCCCAAAATTCCCTAAAATTAATCACTTCGCCTTAAAAATAGCCGAAACCACTGAAAGAAATTGCAGAAGCTTTAGCATTTCCAGCATTACCATTGCAAAGGAGGGGAGACGGCAACTAAAAGCGTCCAAAGTGGGACACAAAACGTGAATGGGTAGCAAAATTTAAACAGAGCACATCCGAACAAGTGTGCTACTGTACCCATTAAAAAAACCACGAAGGACTTACCGATTGGCCTTGTAACGTGTGGACGCCTTCGATGGTCACTGGGGAGACTTTGCTGGAAATAAGGAAACATTAGTGAAGCTAGCGATGAAGGCCGGAAACGATTTGCAGGTTCCATCACCCCTTCAAAGTAGCCATGGAAGTGGTCTTTTCAGGAGTATTCATAAATCCTAATTCTTTTCCATCGTCTCGTGCTTGTCCATCATGTTACCCGCATAGAATGTCAATCAAAAAAGTGGCAATATTTATGTAATTTGGCAAGTGTACCAACAGTCCCAGTAATTCGTCCAAATTCAGTCTAGTTAGTATGAAAAGCGAATTGTGAGGAAACTTCAACGTTCCTACGCTCAAGCCGTCGACCTACACCAACCTACCGGTTAACCTTCTTGCTCCTTCCTTTTCATTCCCCTCCCTCCCCTCAAAAAGTGGAGAAATGGTAAGTTCCGATAGCAAGCCAGACATCCCCAAACGAGAGCGCACACCGTTCCTTACTACCAGTAAGTCAATTATGCATTTACCTTGCAGTGAACCCTGAAGGTGCAAATAACACGGTCGTTCGCAATACCCATCAGCGTGTTGTTAAACCCAATTCGGAGAAATACCCACGATCATCCCGAAGAAGTTGAATTACCAGTGTGAGTGAAGCATCGCAAGTCGAGTATCGCCAACGCCAAAATACTGTTACGCTCTTATGAGTAAAACTGCCAATCGTAGCATTACAGAAAGTCTACATCTGTTTGATAATTTCTATTAGTTGCGAGCTCCCGATGTCCGTTAGTCCTCAGCTCGTAGAACAAATTTGTCCCTATTACGTCCCCATTACGGCCACAGTGCTGATGGCAATGATGAAGCAAAAATATGTCTTGCTTAAAAGGCACTCATGTTGACTGTCCATCAACGATCTTGACATCATAGCGACTGTATTTCTTATTTAGCAGCCCTTCTGTGAACAACTTTGCAGGCATAATAGTTCCATACCATTCCTGAGAGTAGTCTGAAATCGGAAGCATGGCTTGTGTGACCAAGCCCCCATGCAAAAGCCAAATAGCTGAATAAGAAGGCTCACCTTCCTCAGCAATCGATGCACCTCGGATTCCAGATATTCCGAATTTTCGTTCAAGTCGCGCAGCTTTTCTGAAAAAGGAGAGCCAGAGGTAGAACGCAAACACTTTCACGAAAGGGTTAAAAGGTAGAGAATGAAGCCGTCCTCACGCTTCAGTTCGAGGCTCTTCTCCACTTTCTGGCGCAGAAGGCAAACCTCATCTTTTAATCGACAATTCTCCTTGAGCACGTCCTGCAAAGGAAAGTAGACACGGATAAGCCTACCAATCACTACCGTTAGCTAAGGAGCGTAGAGAGTGGTTTGTAGGCGGAAAGCTTATCAACGGGAAATGAATCACGATCATTTCGGTAATATGGCGTGCTGCAAGCGACTTCAACATTCCTGACTAGAGTTTAGCAAATCGCCTCGATTTCTCCCAACCTGCTCCACCTCACCCACCAAATTGGTCAAAATGTTAAATGCTTTGAATAGATTCGTGAAATGCATAGGGGTTGCTTGGAGAAAACAAGACTTCGATGACATTTAGCATTAGAGATGCTAACAGCATCTGATTAGCGAGGGGGGAGGGTTAGAGGAGGGGAGAAGAGAGGGGGTTGGGGGCATAATTACCTCTTACACTATTAGTGGTTCGGTGATAGTTGGATTAGGAATTATTCTTGAGCCAAAATTTATTCCGACCCAGTGTTATCGTTCCAGGGTTGGCGCATCATGGAACGCATACCACAACAAAACAAATGATGACAATCTACACCGTTTAAATTACACAATAACTCTTCCCCGACTCGATCAAATTGCATGCAATACAAAAAACCCGTCGAGGCATTATTTCTTTTGTTCTTAACTAAACCGACAAACTGCACAGTGCCATTGCCAAACTGAAATCCGCGTTGAGCAAAAAAAAACTTGAACAGCACCCACAAACGGTGGAATGCGAAAAAGAATCCATAACTACCTGTGACCATTCAAGCAGCAAATCTGGAAGCAGAAACTCATCGTAAAGCCTTTTTTGAGCCTAAAGGTTTAACAAAACTACAAATTTCTTAACAGAAAAAAAGCACACCCAAAATAGTGCGCCCTCAAAAAGAGTGAATTGAAGGCCGGTGAACGACCATTTTCCGCGGATCACATTCAACGCTAGTTCAGGTGATCCAAGAGGTGCATATTACGCCAAGGCAGAGCTGCTTGCCGCAAAACCGATTTCGGGAAGTGCACTTGCATAGATAACGTCGGATGCCCGTCAATACTGACTTTGTCCGTTAAAAACGAAAGGGACAAGGTTCCATAACTTGGCCGGTGAAATATAGAAATCATTGAATGCAGGTGAATAAGCAAAAAAGATACACAAAAATCGGAATTTATATTTAATGAGTTGCTTATGAAAGTCCTCATGAGCTTGTTCATCCACGTGAAATTCAGATTCGTCTCTAATGAAATTCACAAGACTACACAAAGACAACCAGGGAAAATATTACACTGAATTTTGAAAAGTACATAACGACTTTAGAGGATGAATCCCGTTGACACTTCAAATTCTCTGACCGGTCAATCAGAGTTTTGTCATCGTATCTCCACTGAGTGGCCTGATGGCGGAGAAATGCCAGCAGCCACACCGTAAGCAGACCATACACATTTCCACAAGTACAGCACCGGATTTCGCATAGAGGAAAATTACGAGACGATGGGCTTCAGCAAAAGATGTTTATCCCGGTAGATTCCTCAATAATACTGCCTTAATGGGGAGGGACACCGTGTCTGTGGATAAGAGAGAGGATAGAAACACACACACACACACACACACACACACACACACACAC